TTTTATAAAAAACAATAATTGTGAAGAATTATATATTTCTGACCTGAAAATACCATCTTAATTCAAAAGTCATGGTTGTTAATGATAATATTCCTATTTCACCTATTCAATGTTTTCAAAATATTTTAATAACCATTATATTCATTTTTGGCAATGTAAATAAATATAGAAACATATAAACAGTCTTAAAAAATGTTGATCCTTGTGTAAGCCCTACACTTATTTACTTTACCAGAAACTGATATAATGGTTATTCGTCAGTATGAAAATCATTTCAAAGGTAAAATTGGAAGAATGTCATTGAACTTGGAATAAAAAGCATTATATGGTTAGAAATACTCAATTTTTACCATAATTGTTTTTAATAATATAACCATACCCTCATGGACTATCTTTACATTTCAATAACCAATGTGCATTATATTTTGCATGTTTTACTGCAATTATTTGTAAAAATATTTTTAAATCTTACATTTTTGACTGGAAAGTGAAGAGACAATACTCAAATATACTCATATTATTGGTCACATTTGGTTATTTCACCCAAACAGATTCGGGATTTTTTAGTCCAGGCATATGAAGTAACTAGTGTGAATTAAATGGTCATATTATACAATACAATACAATACAATACTGATCCAATTCAGAATTACTAGAGAAAGTAACTCTCGTGGCTGTTGATTACTGATTGCAGTCATTAAACTAATGACCTCATATTTGGATGTCCTCTCTTCTGATATGATTTTAAAATTCACTTCAAATTGGCAAAGGACCAGGTATAGTATGGCAAGTGATATCTGATTGTCATATATTTTACCATGACTACTTTCTCAATATAAATATGACATTTCTCAAAAACACAATATGTTATCTTTCTAGAAAATTCAATTCTCAATGATTATAAAAATAAACAATCTAAAAAACTATGAATGGGGAACCCATCTCAACATTTTTTTGAAATTATTTACTCAACAGAGGTTCTTCTTTTTTATTTGAATTGCATGAAAATATTATTCAACAAGTGGTCTAAAACTTATTCATTAGTAGAATTGTAATGAAAGTCTAGTTTTGGAGATATCAATTTTCAATGACCAAAATTATGTTGAAAACAATGGATAGTTTGAGTTTTTCCAATGGAAAATAACATGGAATTTGTGGTTTTTAACTTTATCGCATTTCAATACCCGTCCCCTTTTCAGAATTTGTTAATTCATTAGCGTAGAAGAACTTTTGATATATTCGAATTAAGAAAAAATACTTGAGAAAATAAGCCTAATATTTTTCAAAAAGTGACAAGGTCTTATCAATAATATTTCAGATATATTTTCAAATATTTATATTTTCAATTTCAATTTATTGATACATTCAAGCATTATGTTTATGAATGTTATTAATAACAGGTGGCACCACATTTGATGCTTATACCCGTACATATAGTAGTAAAATCATGTAGTGTATCATTAAGTTGTCAAGGAATCAAACCAGAATGAAATCATAAAAAAATAAGTTGAAAAATAAAGGTTGAGGGGGATTCATGATGTTTTTCCTTTTCAAGTGAAGAAGTTGGATGATATCATTTTTATCACAGGGACTTTACATAAGAAAAATCATATTGTTTTCACAAAAACACGTTCAGCCCCAAAACGCCAAATACTAATTAGATATTGAGCTATGACCTTGAAATGATCTTGATCCATAAACATTGACTTATAGATCTGTGGTCACTTATCATTGGTCATTAAATAGGACTGTAGCCCCACATTTGCCAACTACTAGATATTGGCCTTGAAATAACCTTGACACCAGGTCACCTAATCATTGGTCGCCAAAGGTCACAATTGTTCTCAATTGCCTCTAAACTCCAAATTGCTAGATATTGACCTTGGAAGTCACCCTATCATGAGTCGCTAGCTAGGGGCCACAGCAGATACCAGGGCCTTAATACACCAAATACTTAGATACTGATATTTGACCTTGAAATAACCTTAACCTCAGGTCACACATTCATAATTCACAAAGGGTAACCTCAGACCAAAAACGCCAAATATTTAGATATTGATGACCTTGAAATGATCTTGACCTACAGACCTTGACCCTGACAACAGGTCACCTAATAATCGGTTGTATATATATATTTTATTGACTCTTAGAATGTCATGGTATGACATATTAGTCAGTACAAAAATAGAAGCTTACTACACTACACTACATGAGTCAAGGGTCAGAATTGTTCTCAATTGCCTTAAAACACCAAATTGCTAGATATTCACCTTGAAATTACCTACACCCATTCAGTTGATCTTTACCTCAGGTCACATAATCATCGGTTGAGAAGGGTCACGCCATCGGCAAAATGTCTTAAAATGCCAACTATCCTAGATATTGATATTTTAAACTTGAAATTACCCTGACTTTTGACCTATGTTGAATACACATTTTATGAACAAAACATACGAAGTTGAAAACTGATCTTTTTGAAATGAAATTGCTGCTAATGTTTCAAAACTAAGGTATCTTTATTGCAAAAGTAATATTCAAATTGAATAAACCAAAAGGGATAGACTTAAATTATCTAATCTTCCATCAGATTTAGTAAAATTATAACTCTTCAGTAAATGTTGCAATGAATGCTCACACATATCTTGTTGTATATCAATCTAGTGCAACTGCTACAGGTATCACTCTGACACGTATCTGTGAACAAATCAAACTTCTTTGATGTTGATGTAATGCAAATTGGTATCTTTTAATATGACGTCCGTAAGATAAACCATCAATACTAGGATTATCAAAATTTGCATTAATAAAATCAATTCCCGTCTCATCACTATCACACCCATTATTACAAGATGATGTCTCTTAGATCACTGTCTGCAAACTATAAACTAAGTGATGCACTATATGCTCGTAATACTTTTTTATTCAAAATCAAAAGTCAATGATACTATTCCTATTTTACCTATTAAATGATTTTTATATATCCGAATAACCATTATATACGTTTTTGACAAAGTGAATAATTGTAGGGCTCACACAAGGATCAACTTTTTGAAGACTTTTTTCATACTGGTGTAGACCCTCCTTCTTGCGAACCAAGGGCGATGAATTGAGATTTTTCAGTCAAAACAAGAAAACAAACATATAATTGTTTTTTCTTCAACAAATAAAAAATAAAATTGAGTTTACCTTCGTATTTTTTCAAAACATTACTTAATATGAAAATGCTATGAACAAAGTTGATCCTTGTGTGAGCCCTACAATTATTTACTTTGTCAAAAACTAATGAAATGGTTATTGGTATATCTAAAAAACACTGACTATATAAAATAGGAATAATATCGTTGACAACAGTAACTTTTTAATTGAAAACGCATTTTAAGGTCATAAATATCCAATATTTTACCATAATTGTTTTTCATAAAATTACCACAACCGAATGGACTATCATTACACATCAATATCAAATTTGCATCTTATTTTGTATACTTACAAGTATCATTTTAAAAAATGTACATTTTTCAAACTCATCTTTTTGACGGTCGCACCTTGGTGCAAGCCGTTTAGCCCTTTCGTGTCACTATTTTGACTGCAGACAAGTAAAAATGAATAGATAATAGATCAATCTAAAATGACTATGGGTCAATTCATAGTAAGCTACCACAACATAGGTTTAGCCTAACTAAGCCACTTAGAAAGCAATTTGGCACACACTATATGTAAAAGTAAGAAATAAGAAACAATTGCCAATAAGATGCACAGCATACTGGATGTATATGTAACAGTAAGAGGCTATGACCTATAAGAGGTCATAGCCTCTACTGAATGCTCCTACTGAATGTAAAATTTACCGAAAGAAACAATCTCCAATAAGATGGACAACATACTGGATGTATATGTAACAGTAAGAAACTATGGCATATAAGATGTACAGCATACTGGAAGTATATGTAAAAGTAAGAGGCTATATGACCTATAAGATGTACAGCATACTGGATGTAAATGTAGCAGTATGAAACTATGGCATATAGGATGTACAGCATACTGGATATATATGTAACAGTACAAAACTATGGCATATAAGATGTACAGCATACTGGAAGTATATGTAACAGTAAGAGGCTATGACCTATAAGATGTACAGCATACTGGATGTATATGTAGTAGTACAAAACTATGGCATATAAGATGTACAGCATACTGGATATATATGTAACGGCAATAAACTCTGACATATAAGATGTACAGCATACTGGATATTCGTATAAATGTAGCAGTATGAAACTATGGCATATAAGATGTACAGCATACTGGATGTATATGTAACAGTACAAAACTATGGCATATAAGTTGTACAGCATACTGGATGTATATGTAACAGTACAAACTTATGGCATATAAGATATACAGCCTACTGGATGTAAATGTGTAACAGTAAGAAGCTATGGTCAGCAAGATGTACAGCCTACTATAATATGTGTTTCAGTCAGAAGCTATGGCCAGTAAGATGTGCAGTTAAACGGTGATATTCATTCCCAGTAACTATAGCAACAAGATGAAGGCCGGTATGAAAAAATCAATATGTGATCATTGTATGAATGTAGTCTAGATATGCAATAGCCATTGGAAACACACTGCCGGTTTATCGTTGTTCTATTATCTGCTGTTACAGACCTATGCCACTGCAGCATAGCACAGCATCAACTTTCCTTCACAAATTTTCAACATCTCTCATTTTATATATTTACTATACAAATTATCCAAATTGCTGGTGTATTTTGCAATTACTTAAATTGGTCATATAAACAGAAGTCTTATAGCAAAAATACCAATGATACAATATGCTATCATAGTAATCAATACAATATCTTTTTTTTTATTTGAACCTCTTTTTTTATTTTTTAATTGATATGATCAGGAATAATGCATCTATTTTCATTCCAAACAGTACATTATATGTGCATGTCATTAATACACACCAAGAATAAATACAATTATTTTACCTTTATTAAGTTTGTAGCTATACTTGAACAAGGTGACACTACTGTCTTTAGGCATCTATCATGGACCACAAAGTTGCAAACTGAAAACAAAAAACAATTAATGTTACCAATGCAAAATTTTTATCAAATCAAAAATATATGAAATGTTGAATATTTCGCTGTTCTTTCCTCACTGAAAATAAAACAAATGTATATCACTTTGTATTAAACCCCACTTAGGTAGCAACACAATAAAATAAACTATATTTTATTTTAAAGCATACACAGCTGTAACAAAGAGAAGTGCATTATTTGTTAATTGTAAAACATTCTGGATTTTAGGACAAATAATAGCCTAGAGCCTTGGCTATTATTTATTATAAACCCAGTGCTCATACTTTATCCATAATGTAAGTTACCTTTGATGAATCCCCCCCAAATCATGAAAAACTATGTATGGAAGGGATTTTAGACAGTCATATGTTTTAACAATTTATCAAAATGTTGCACAATGAAATTTGTTTCAAGCCTTTCAATATATTGTTCCAAACAATTATTGACCAGGAATTTTAAAAAAGCATATTTAAATGCATAGAAGCATGGCCTTTCCATCTCCATCTAATCTTTATATCCTATCGCATATTCAAGAAAAAAACAGTCTACACTTATTCACCAATCGCACATACATGTACTTGTTTTGTTAATTGCTAGAATTTCTTTATACAAGCACAAGTTAATGAACAGTAAAATATGTCATATCCAAACATAAATGGGACCATCCAAAATTGTTTAACCTCTTGACTACCCAGTGTGACAAGATTGGAAATGACCTTGAAACGTAGAATGACGAAATAATCCGTCAAAAATTTCTCACTAAAATTGCTCCTATTTGAATAATTTTCGTCCAATTTACACAAATATTGTTTTAAATGTGTAGAATGATCTCTACCATCTAATTGTACTAAATTGAGCATTACCTGTTGTTGTTGTATATGTATGAAGTAAAATGTCAAAAACTGACAAATATGAAAAATTCTCTTGTTTCAACCGATTTTAGAACCTGGTTAAAATAGCAGGTTTACATTTCAAGGTTTCTAAGTATGTGAGTCACTGAGACATTGTAATCACATATTTCAGATTTCAGATTTAAAAGCTTTATTGTTATATTCTTTACATATAAATGTGAATATACAAAACATTTCTTAGACTAATAACTAACTATCTAATAATCCACATACTACAATGAAACATGTAAAGTGGAACACCACTAGAAATGGACCACATCTACTGACTTAATGTTAAATGAACCTCTATAAATGGAACACCTCCCGTAGAACACTTTTTAGAAGTACCATAGGTGTTCCACTTAGACAGGTTTTACTGTCCATGTACCACCAATATGAATAGCAGTGCCACCAATGTGTGATGGAAGCCAACATGGACAGATGCCTTCTGATTCAAAAACTCACTGTATGAGCCAAAGGTTGAATCTGGCTGGCTGAGGTCTCAAAAATTCACGCATGAGCGAAACATCAAGTTTTGGCATGGAGCATCCCTTAGCACAAAGACAGAAGTCACAGAGCTTCAAACTCAACAGCATATGGGCCTCATTACGATGAACGTCCTAAAAGAAACACTTTACTTAGGAGGAGTTGGCCCCAGTGCTGATATCCCTGATGTGATACAGATACAGAAATATACTTAATATAAACTGATATATATCCGACTAAAACACACTACATCATAATGATATACAGTATATTTACAGTATACATGTATTAGAGACATGGTGTTCCACAATGAAACAGATCTGTACAAAATGATAATCAAATAATTGGATTATTTCGACAATTATTTCCATACATATCGCAAAGCTACTGGCAAATGACTTAGTAAAATCATGGAATCAATAGAAGGGAATTTCATAATGTCTCTCTGCATTAGTGAAATTCTAGTTGAGATGATAAAGCACATGAACTGATAAAACAAGAATTTGGAAATGATTTCATTAATTTGGTTGTATGATGTTGGGGTCGTTTGATCATGAGGAAGCATAGTGAGAGATCAAAGATATGACGCCAACGAGCGATAGTGGGAGGTACCTTGCAAAAATTTCACTCAACGCAATTCCTACTAATGACCATAAAATATTGTTATTTTTGAAGATATTTTATTTCAAGCAGCACCTGGTTAAACATGAGAATGTGTATTTTTAAGATTACCAACCTTGTTTCCATATATTTTCATAAATATAACCATATCAATGTTTATATTGAAGATAATCACATTCATAGTTTATAACTCAGTGTGTAATATCTGTATTCATTATTCTTGATTATAAATTTGATTTTACGTGTAGATGGGTGGAAGAGCAATGTCCTGACTTAAATTAATGTTAATCAGTTCCTAAGGTACCAAAATAGATGTTGATATTCACTGGTGTATTTTGATACATTCAAGATTTCTTATAATTCTATCGCCCTACCAAATAGACAAAATAATATTCAACATGTTAAGTTTTAGGAGGAAAACTTTTTTTAGCAAATCATTCCAATCCTTTTCAAATTCATAAACATGGAGGATGAGACACATACTATACCTAACAGACCTAAAGACAAATTATGCTTTTGTGCCATCTTGTTTTCCGTCTTACAGATGTATGTATAATTTGCAGGTATTTTGGGCAGGTTCATGTGTTTTAAAAGTAAAATTGCTTGCTACCTGCCTATATGATTTTCAATGCCCCAATAGGAATCAAACCCAGGACCCTCTGCTCACAAGTCAGATGCTCTACCCCTGAGCCATAAGGGCTAGCCACTACAGCTGAGACTGTAGTAGCAACTTGGCTCATTACCCCATCCTGCCCTGAAGGATGACGTCCCGTCGTAACTAATATAAAAGGGTAATCGAACCCCTGCCATCACTGAAACGACCTGAGGGCAAGCTCATCCAGGGGAGCTGTGGTGTAATGACCCAGATACTAGACATGAAAGGGGGTGTGCTAAATAAATTCAATGCCCCGGAAGGGAATCGAAGCCAGGACCCTCAGTTCAAAAGTCAGATGCTCTACCCCTGAGCCATAATTTGGCCATAATTTTTATCGGCCAAAAAATATATGACAATATTAAGTGCTATGCATTGGTGAGAATTATCACTTATCAAAATTTACATATGACTCCTAAAAGTTAGTTTTAAATAAAAAATTAACGATTTTTAGTATAAAAAACTACTTCAAAAACCACTTTTTGACATTAAAAATAAGTGGTTTAAACTTTATATGAGGGCTTTAAAGGAATCAATCTTCAGATTTTCCTGAAAAAATCCTGGTAAAAGATATACTGATGTATTACATAATATGTGAAAATTGGAAAGATGGACCGTTTGGTTATTTCTAAAAAAATGTTTTAATTTAACATTGCTCTCAATGGGAAATTCTTTTTTAAAGGGACCCAACACCATGGTCACATGATCAGTCATGTGGAGGTAAGCTCCCAGTTGAAATAAAAGCACTGTCCTCCTTTGGTTTCTGTGAAAAGTAGCTAATACCCTCATGTATTGGTCAGTTTGTGTGTCACACGACTAATCCATACCATATGCTTCATTCAACATATTTTATGCTATTGAGCTGCATATATAAACAGTACTTTGCAACTAAGGTCATACAGTATACTTACCCCTTGCAAATTGTAATTTATTGAATTCACAGTAAACCCATCAATTTTTAAGAAAACAAAGAATATTGTTCTCATGGATCTATTATTTATGTTAGACTAACTATGAAAATATAAATATGAAATAATATGTTAGGTTGAAGTCATATATAAGATGAAAATATATGTTCATGCATTTGCATTTTTCCAAAGGGAATATTCCCATGTAAGTAAATACGACAGGTGCAATATATAATTTATATGTACATGTATATCTATGTCATCTGTCTATACATGCGCGTATAGCCTAGTGTTACATGTGAACAAGATGGTTCTGGAAAGAAATGAGCGTGGCAGATTTGCTAAAAAGCCACATACACCACAAAAGCAAGACCAATAGACTATATGTGAGTAGAAATAATCTTGATTTACGTCATTAATATTCAAAATTCAGTCAAAGTGATGTCATATTTGAAATCTGCATTTAAATGTGCATCTAGAAATATGGTTTCGAAAATTGTTTATCAACTTTGAAAATTTAATTTTCTTAGAAAATGTGACTTCTTGTTCGGGTTGATTCCCCATAGACCCCATGTTAGAAAATCACAAAAAGTGAATTATCTTTTCTTGTATTGGACAGATAACATTTTCTTTTACTGGAAATATTTTAATTTGCATAACTATTAGATACATAAGGGTTATATGAAAATTGAACCATGCAAATAGATGTAATTTAAGTTAAAGGGAACTTTCTACTATACCCGCCATGCTATCTGACCCGAACGAGTCACCTGGTGGTGAATCTGGTAACTACCTACTCGCATCTGCGTTATTTGAAAGTAAGTTCATTATTCTCAAGGGTACACTTCAAGTGAAAGCTACATTGCTACAGGGTGGCCTATCATTCTGAGACAAATGTATTATCCAACGATTGTGATTTTCGAAGCTAAAATGTGATATCTTGAGCAGATGGAAATACATTCCCATGAGATATGTATATATAGTCAAAAGTGATAACTATTTATTGAGTGTAATGAAATGTATCCTTCGCTAACTGCTTTTGTTTGAGATAATTATCATGAAATATTTTTAAATTAATTTTTATGTGTGTCATTGATCCTAATCCACCCTGTAGTCTGGTGTTTGTAGAGCATTGCGACTCGTACAACTTATTCTCACAAATCAAACCTCATTTACAAATTAATTTTTTGTGTGAATATGAAGAGTCCAAGCATTGCTTTTTTATGTTTATTGTATAGCTATATTTAGCCTTGATATCCATGATTTTTTAAAACAAAATCTCACCGTTAGATTTCGAGCTATTCATGTTTACTCATTTGTCTAATTGGAAAACAATGCAAATCTCATTTTTTCAAAAGAAAAAAATTGAAATTCTAAGACGGTGAAAAATCATTAAAAAATACAGAGATTCAGAATCCGGCAAGCATTTT